TCCTTTACTTTGTCTCTCTCATCACCTTTAGGGTCCCATCCTCTCTAATCATCCCTGCCTGTCCCCAGCCAGAGTTAATGTGATGACCTTATCATTTTTGAATGGAACAATGAAACATACCGTATTTTTTTGTTTTTCTTAGCAGTATAAGAACATTTTTATTTATATTTGGTCAAGGAATGAAAAAGAAAATGAGAAATTTATAGGATGGAAGAGTTTGAAAGCCACAGCAATCAGTTGGTTCTAAGAAATTCTGTGAATAAACTAATTAAATAATATTGCATTGGCACTTAAAATTTTTATTTGGATATGAAATTTATTTCTAGTTTTCTGAAAACTTAAAAGTAAACAGACTCAGGAGAGGAGAAGATAGATTTTCCCTAAACAAATGAAAAAAGAACAGATATCTACATCTAATACTCTCTAAGGAAGGAATTCTGTTCCTTGAGTGGTTGAAATTAGAGGCATGTTGTTCTAAACTGTTCCTCTGCCATTTTCTTCCTAGCCCTTTGAAAAAAAAAATGGAGCTGCAAAATCATCGTTGGAAAACAAGGTCTCATTTTCCACATGTTTCTAGTACTGAATTTCTATTTATAAGCTTAAGATAATCTTGTGTACAAAGAAGTTTAAGGGGAGAGAAAATGTTACTTATTCAACTTTTAAAGTGTGTGGTGGACATTGGTGTCCTTGGAGCTCCCTTTTCTCCTTCACTGCATCGCTCCACAGATTAACAGATAAAAATGGAGGCTGCATGGTTGAGGAAGGTCAGTGAGAAGCCAGCACCCTGGCCTTCATCCTTGTGCAAGGGCAGTTCTTGAGTTCTCTGCAGAACCCAGCATACAAACCACTGGTCTAGATGATTTCTAAATGAAATAGTAACCCTAAAATTCCGAATATTTTTAAAGGTCTGGTGAGGAAGGATATTATCCTGAACTTACGGAATTTTGTGAAAAACGCCTTAAAGGCTTGGCTCCTGAAAGTAGAGCTTTGAGGAAAGATAAACCTGCAGCAACAGCATCTAGTTTTACAGCAGAAGAATGGGAAAGAATTGATGGTGATATAAAGGTATAGAGTAACACCAGTTTTTGTGATTGTCACATTCTATATCTGTCTACTTCACTTATTCAAAATCCAGTCTTTTTTTGTCAATAAAGGGCTTTGAGTGGAAATTACTTAGCATTGATTACTTTTTACACTCAGGAGAGTATTGTGAATTTGTTTCTGCATGCACATACATATAGGTATTTTAAATGAATAATATTCTATCTTAGGAAAATACAATTTTCTTATACCACTTCCTTGGGATAATTATTAGAATTCAAATTGCTTGATCAAAGGATTGAATATTTTTAAGAGTTTTGAAACACATTTTTATGTTCTCAAAAAAGTTTTACCTTTTTTCTCTCCCACCAGCAGTGTATAATGTCTGTTTCAGATACTCACTACTGGATATTGTGTTTGGATTAGAATTGTGTTGAATTTATGGATCAATTTTGGAAGAACTGATATCTTGACAATATTGAAATATTCTGATCTGTGACCATCATATATTTCTCTGTTCATTTAAGTCTTTAATTTTTTGTAACAATGTGTTGTAATTTTCAGTGTATAGTTCTTATATATTTTTGTTAAATTTATTCCTAAGTCGTATATTTTATGCTATTGTAAAAGTTGACGCTTTTTAATATTGATTTTTTTTGTCATTCTGAATCACCTTAGTTATGAAATTTAATTGGTGTTTTCCTTTTGGTGTGGTAACATTCAAATTACATGAAATTTACCATTTAACCATTTTTAAGTGTATAGTTCATTGGTACATTCACACTATATTGATGAGTACAGGTCATAAGAATATTCACACTGTCGTGCAACTAATATCCAGAACTTTTTCATCTTGCAAAACTGAAGCTCTATACCTATTAAACAACAATTCTCCATTTCCCCCTCCTCTTGGACCCTCCAACCACATTTTGCTTTTTGTTTCTGTAAGTTTGACTAAACTAGATAACTCATGTCAGTGTAATTTTAATTTGACTTTGTATCCTGTGGTCTTATTAAATTTATAAATTGTTTCTAGTAGCTTTTTTGTAGATTCATTATATTTTCTATATTCAGGATCAAGTCATCTGTGAATAAGAGAGATTTACTTCTTTTCCTGCGTCTGCCTTTTATTTCTTTTACTTGCCTTATTGTACTGGCTAGGACCTCTAACACAGTGTTGGCAGAAGTGGTAAGAGCAGATATCCTTGTCTTTTTCCCAATATTAGGGAAAATCATTCAGTCTTTTACCTGTAAGTATAATGTTAGCTTAAGATTTTGTGTAGATGACCCTTTATCAGGTTGAGGAAGGTCCCTTTTATTCCTTGTTTGATGAGAATTTTTATCATGAATGGGTGTTGAATTTTATGAAATGCTTTCCTGCATTTATTGAGAAGATCATAAGATTTTCTTTGTAGTCTATTAAGCTACACTATTTTCAAATGTTATACCGACCTTGCATTCTAGGATAAACTCTACTTGCTCATGATGTATGTTTTTTATATATTGTTGGATATAATTTGCTAAAATCTTATGAAGGATTTTTGTGTTTATGATCGCAAGAGATACTAGTCTGTAGTTTTCTTGTAACGTCATTGTCTGGTTTTGGTAGCAGTGTGATGCTGGCCTCACAGAATGAGTTGGGAAGTGTTCTATTTTCTATTTTCCAGAAAGTTTGTGTTTAATTGGCATTATTTCTTCCTTAAGTATTTTCTAGAATTCACCATTGATGCTGTCTGGACCTCCATTTTCTTTATAGGGAAGGATCTAACTATAAATTCAAATTATTTTAATAGATATAGGGCTACTCAGATTATCTTCAGAGTTCTCTCTCTGTCTGGCTATCTCCTTTTGGATATTTTGCACACCACATCTTATATTCTTGGCCTCCTTGAAGAACTCTTGTCTTTCTGCATGTGCTGTGAGACCACAGGGATGTTGGGTTTCCTTTCCGTATGTTACAGCCTGGAAATTCCAGGCAAAAAGTTGAGGCAAATGCAGGCCTTACCTCATTTGTTTTCCTTCTTTTGAAGATCACTGTTGCATGCTATCTATTTTCCAGTGTCTGAAAACCATTATTTCTTGTATTTTCTCCAGTTTTCTAGAATTTAAACAGGAGGTTAAATTTGTCCCCGCTGCTACATCAGGGCAAGGAGGAGAGATACCCCTTTATTGATTTTTCTCATGGGTTTCCTATTTATTTGTAATAGTTCTGTTCTTCAATCTGCTATTTGCCTTTTTAATTTTGTGTATGGTGTTTTTCATGTTAATTCATTAAAATTTTTTATTTAATCATACCTCTTGATTTTATGCTTTATGATCTTTTCTTGCTATTATATTTGAGAAAGTTTTCTCTCTACCAGATATATAGTTGCCTATGTGTCTCAGAGTTCTTTTATGGTTTCATTTTGCTTAAGAAATATTTTTTTAAAAAGAGACTCTAGAGAAACTGTGGTTTTTTATTTGTTTTGTTTTATGTTATTTTATTCAGCACATTTTACTGGGGTGAATAATAGTGTTTGAGAACAATTTGAGGGATATGTATTCTCTAACTCAAAGTGGTAAGTTTTTAAACTTTCAGCTTTCTAATTTTACCATTATATTGACTTGAATTTGAAAATCTGGTGATCTACATGTTAAAACAGCAATTTGTGTTCAGAGTTTTTTGACTTAATTTTCAGGGAGGAGGGATAGTTTTGTTTTAGTGCACAGCCTGCTTTTCTCCTGATTGCGTTGTTCTTTCTCAGCCACTTGAGCCAGTCTCCTCCTCATCTCCCTTTCTTATACACTTCCCTGCCCCTTCTCCCTCTCTCCCCATTCTCTCTTACTCCCTTTCCTCTTATATAATTCCTTCTCTCCCTTTTTACCTTTCTTTCCTTTCTGTTTTTCTTTTTCTCCTCCTGTTTCTGTTTCTCCCCTTTCATCCTCCCTGCCTCCTATACAGGTAGCACAGATTAAATAGTTTATTGCTGTATCCCAGTGCCTAATTTAAGAGTGTCCTAGACAGATAATAGACATAATTAGCAATTAGATATCAGACCCTCACTATATAGTTGCTGAATAATAAATAATAAAATTTCACAAATAACAGATCTCTTCCTCAATTTCTCCTGGGACCCATGACAATTCAGTTTTATAAACATAATTGTGTATCTGTTATATGCCAGACGTTGTGCTATTTGAAATACAAAGATGAGATTAAGACATAGACTGTGCTGCCCTCAACAAACTTACAGTGTGGTGAGAGAGACAAACAACTGACCCTAGAACAACATGGGTTTGAACTGCATGGGTCCATTTACACCTGGATTTTTTTCAGTGAATATATTGGAAAAAATTTTTTTGGAGATTTGCAACAACTTTAAAAATATTTTTTCTCTAGCTTACTTTATTGTAAGAGTACAGTGTATATAACACATATAACATATAAAATATGTGTTAATCGACTGTTTTTGTTACTGGTGAGGCTTTCCAGTCAATAATAGGCCATAAGTAGTTTTTGGGGGAGTCAAAAATTATATGCAGATATTCGAGTACTTGGGGGTGGGCACTCCAGCCCCTACACTGTTTAAGGGTCAACTGTAGATGATTTTGAATCTTTATGCTAATACATGGAGAAGGAGCCCTTTTAACCCAACCAGGAAGTTCAGGGAAAGCTTGTTAGAAGGGATGATAAGGAAGATTCTGCAAGGTAAGTAAAAGTGGGAAGGGCAACAGTATATGAATATATGTGACAATGCTGAATTGTATACTTGGAAATGGTTAAGGTGATAAATTGTCTTATGTGTATTTTACCACAATTAAAAAAAATAGTAGATAGGGCATCACAGATAAAGAATGGCATGATCAAATTGTCCCCTAAAAGATTGTCTCACAGGAAACTATGATGATGTATGATCCTCTCTAATGTGTGATAAACTACTTCAAACTGTATATTTACCTTCTTTTTTCTCTCTTCACAGAGTTGGGTATCAGAAATTAGAAAACAAGAAAATACAGTACATTTTCATGAAACTGGAACACTTCCAGCAACAGAAGATAATTTGCCTCCAGTTCGTGGTTCAGACAGCCATCTTCGTGTTGATAGGGTAGTTCCTTTTGATGTGGGGTGTGGGTGGCAGGGGAGAATGTGGTGGTTGTTTTTTTAGAGGAGGTAGCTCAGTTTAACTGGAGTAGCCACAGTGTGATGTTCTCTAGGCAATTGGGGATTTTTTTTCAGCTGGCCATGTGTTAGTACCTTCTTGAGTAGGGTGTATTTCATTACTTGGAGATCATCATGAAACAGCATTTTCCCTTAAAGACTTGCATCTTGGATTTCCTGCCTTTCCTCATTTTTTTCTTTTGTTGTTCTGTCTCTTCTACTCAGACCAGTCTGGATAAGCACATAAGATCCAATGCAGTGTGTGAGAATTTCAGTTAATAATTTTATATACCCAGTAGAGACATAGAGGAAATAGTTTATTGCATAATAAACTATGGATTTAAAGCAGTTTATAGATAGTATCATTCCTCTGTGTACTGCATGTATTTTTACCCTGCCCTCAGCCCCTTATGATTGTTTCTCCATGGTAGTTGCCTATTTTGTCATGCAGACACAACACAACCTCTCTTTTTACACCCATGGGTTACATAGAGAAGGGGCCTGTAAACCCATTCTACTTAATTTCAAGTTGAAACTGAGCTGCTTGGCATCCCCTGGCCCTGACAGCTCAGAATCTAGCCCTTATCTCCTGGACATAGGGAGTCTCTAGGTTTGCACTTGGATCACATATTCCATTCTCTCTGCCCCCCTTTTTTTCCCCCTTTATTCCTGTTATTTCTGAAAGGATGGCTACCCGAGTCTCTTCATTCTGGGTTAACTTGTTTTTACTCTTTTCTTTGAATCCTCAATTTTATTTAAAAACATCTATAGCCCTTTATCACTCTGCTGTCTGATAATTTACCTTCCTGGATCTTTTAATTCCCCATTAGAAGTTGCCCAGGTAATTGAGGTACAAAGTAATATGGTAAGGATGCCATTTCCTGTAATCAATTAATTTGTATTTATTTCATACCCATTACGTACTAAATCTGTGCCCTGAAAATATAACAATGTATAAGACTTGGTCTCTGCTTTCAGGGAGCTTGTCATCCAGTGGGGTAGACAAAGATAGAGTGGTTCTCAAAAGTATGGCCCATGGACCCTGGTTGTCCCAGAGAGCTTTCCAGGGGGTCCAGAAACTCAAGCTATTTTTAAAAATGATGCTAATGCTTTGTCTTTTTCACTGGGTTGACATTTGCACTGAGATAAAACTGCTGAGGCCTTGGCACAGATTAAGGAAGTACTAGTAGTTGTCGTTTCTCCACTGCTATTCATTGGCAGTACAAAAATTACAGTTCAACATAAAAATGTTGCTGATGAAACGAACTTATTTTGTTAAATCCTGAATCTTGAGGACACATCTTTTTAATATTCTGTGTGACAAAATGGGAAGTTAGTAGAAAGCATTTCACCGTGAAGTGGAATATGTTGGTTATCTTGAGAAAAGCACTTATATGATTGAGTTGCCAGCTTAAGTAGCCACTTTTTCCTGGAAGAATTTTTACTCAAGAGTGACTGATAGACAAACTGTGGTTATTCAACTGGCTGAATACTGGAAGTGAGCAAAGTGGGCCTGTCACCTAAAGGAAAACAAGTGACAGTGGTTTTTTTTTGCCAGTGATAAAATCTGACCTTTAAAGTATATAAATTTAGAGTATTTTATAATCTTACGTGGCCTTAAATACCAGTTTGTGACAAAAAGTTTTCCTCTTTAGGAATATACATAAAGGCTTTTCCGATGAGCTCCATGAAAATATTAACATGAAATTTTTTAATCATGTAATGAAATGTATGAATGTTTGGAAGATTTGCATAATTCCAAATGATCAATGTGCAATGTTACAGAATTGTGCATGGGTAAATGCCCCATTCAAAATGGTTTCAGATTATGACTAACTTTTAAGAAACAATTTAAGAAGTACGTGTAAGCATAATGACTATTGTTTGCTTTCCTCCCACTCCCTTCTTGTGCTTGCAGTGGGCATGTGACCTATTGGGCCACTTAATAGTGCACCAAGCTAGTGCTTGGTGAGAAAGAGGCACATGGCCCAAGCTAGTCAGTCAGAGTCCTCCCTGGGATTTCTCTAACAAAAGATGGAGAGTAGGGTCACTCTTTTTTTCCTTTCTGACTGGGAGGCCTGTGAGGTCATAATGCCAGACAATTTAACACCATGTGTTCTACTACATGGAAAAAGCAAGTAGCCAGTGGGGAAAACAAAATCAGTAGGCAGAGAGAAGCAGACACTAGGGACAAGGGAGAGAAGGAGAACTGGAGAGGGGACATGTGAGCCCTTCATCCAGCAAGGCGCTTGCACTTTCATCAGTTTAATTACATAAGCCAATCATTTTCTTTTTAATAAAATTAGTCCTAGTTAGGTGTCTGTCACTGCAAACAAAACAGCAAAATAGTTATTATTTCTCCAATGCCTAGGTTTTAAAAGAATGAATGATAGTTTAGTGTGTTTTTATTATAAGAAAATCACTAATAATCATATTTAACACATGTAAGTTTTAAAATTTCACATATGTACTTAAAATCTTTAAAATTGCTCCCAGGATTAAATATAAACTTAAAATCATTTTTACATATGCTCTGTAGTATTATGGTAATAATTATAATACTGAAGTTGTTATAACTTCAAGGGTACCTATTTTTCTTATCTATTCAATTCATGTATCTTAATCTAATACTTCATATTACATTTATAGTAAAATGTGTTAATCTTATATTAAATTTATCTCACAAAATATGATTTTATTCTTTCAGGAAAAATATTCTAAAAGTAGACCAGCTAAAAAGAATATTCCGAGGGATTATGCAGACTGGGATAAGTATGTTTTATATTTCTTGATATAAGATTTATCACTGAAAAAGTCTCTACCATAAAACACTGTAATAACTTCTTAATTATAAACATGAACATACCAAGAATATCAAGTTACTTCAGTAGAATACTCAGAGTATCTCATCTAAACACTTCTGAACTTGTTTTTTTCATTAAATGAAAATCCACTGCACTCTTTGGTTTATAAAAGCAACCAAACATAATTAAAATAATCAAACTAAAAAGAACACAAATTTTAAATTGAGAGAAATTGGTCACAACTTTAATTACAAAGTTCTCAACAGTTCAAGTATAATATTTAAGTCCTCATTAAGTTGCATGGCTTCTAAGAGAGAATACAGATGACTTATAATCTAAATTTAAGCATTTTTGATATGTGTCTCTAAATGCAGTTATACAAACACAATATCAATGATAAATTTTATTTTCTTGTGTTGTTTTTATTATTTTTTTCATTTAAGATTTGACGTGGAAAAGGAATGTTCAAAAATTGATGAAGATTACAAAGAAAAAACTGGAGTAAACAAGTCACACTTGTCTAAAATTGAGACAACTATAGTAACAGCAGGTAGCTGGGGAAAATTAATAATTTACTAGTCTTTAAATTTTTTTAATTATGAAAAAAGTTATCAAATTAAAAAACATTCTCTTTAAATGCTGTAGATTTCCATTAAGGGTTTATGGATTTTTCTCCTAGAGTTGACCATTTCTAATAAATTCAGTTCTAGCCTTTAACTACTTAATTTTATATGAATAGTAATCATGCTACTAAATTTAGTAAGACTTAAAAATACAAATGTATTTTTTTTCCTGTAATTCATTTGGTTTTCATGCTTTTTTTCAAATCCTTTTTCCTCCAAATCCCTCAGTTTTTCTTTTTGCCTCAAAACAAAAAGATGGAGCAGATTGCTTTCATTTGAAATCCATAGATATACAGAACCTTTAAAATAAAACAAAACCAATCATAAAAAAAACTAAACCATTAAAAATTGTGAATTAAAAAAAGAAAATTAGGAAAACTTATTTATTTTATAATTTTCTGCTTCTGTTAAAAAGTATTTTTTGATTAAAATTTTTTAAAAATTCTATTAAGTTTTATTTTTTCTTATAGCCAATAACATTCATTTCTAGGTCTAACTGAGAAGGAAAAGGATTTTCTTGCTGCTCATGAGAAGGAAAAAGGAAATGAAGCTTTCAACTCAGGAGATTATGAAGAGGCTGTGATGTATTATACCAGGTGAACAGATTTTTGTTGTGGTTTAAACTTGTCATTTAAAAAATGATAATGTTTAAGTTTAATTCTTAGAATGATATAAATAAGGTAAAAAGTCTGTTGGAATCACTCAAGATATTCTACTTATGATTTTTCATAAATTTACTTGTGTTTGCCTTAGTTTTTTTCAATACTATTTTATCCTCTAAACTCCCACCCCAGCCCCACTTTTGACAGAAATCCTAACTTTCATACTTCACAGAGAAAATAGAAGCCATCTGAATGAAACTTGACAGAAAGTCCATACATCATAGAGGTTAAGAGCTTAGGTTCTGCAGTCAGACTGCCTGGATCTAATCCTAGTATTTATGGTGCTACGTCCACCACAGAGACTTTCATATGCTCGGTCCTAGAGTACTCTTTTCTTATCTCATTATCTAGTTAATTCTAGGTTATCCTTCAGATCTCAGCCTGTGCCTCTATTCTTTGAGGATGTCTTCCATAACCTTCCAGACTAGGTTAAATCCCCAATCCCCCCAACCCTCTAATTTTTTTTTAATTAAGGTATCACTGATATACAATCTTATGCTGGGGTTTCACATGAGCAACATTGTGGTTACTAGATTACCCCCATTATCAAGTCCCCAGCATATACCCCATTACAGCCACTGTCCATCAGCATAGAAAGATGCTATAGAGTCACTACTTGTCTTCTCTGTGCTATACTGCCTGCCCTGTGACCCCCTACATTATGTGTGCTAATTGTAATGCCCCTTCCCACCCCCACCCCCCAGTCCCTTTCCCTTTGGTAACTGTCAGTCCATTCTTGGGTTCTGTGAGTCTGCTGCTGTTTTGTTCCTTCAGTTTTTGCTTTGTTGTTATACTCCACAGATGAGTGAATCATTTGGTACTTGTCTTTCTCCCCCTGGCTTATTTCACTGAGCATAATACCCTCTAGCTGCATCCATGTTGTTTCAAACAGTAGGATTTGTTTTCTTCTTATGGCTGAATAATATTCCATTGTGTATATGTACCATATCTTCTTTATCCACTTATCTACTGATGGACACTTAGGTTGCTTCCATGTCTTGACTATTGTAAATAGTGCTGCGATGAACAGGGGTGCATATGTCTTTTTGAATCTGTGATCCTATTCTTTGGGTAGATTCCTGGGAGTGGAATTTCTGGGTCAAATGGTATTTCTATTCTTAGTTTTTTGAGGAACCTCCATATTGCTTTCCACAATGGTTGAACTAATTTACATTCTCACTAGTAGTGTAGGAGGGTTTCCCTTTTTCCTCGCCAGCATCTGTTGTTGCTTGTTGGCCATCCTAACTGGTGTGAGGTGATATTTCACTGTGGTTTTAATTTGCATTTCCCTGTAATTAGCAATGTGGAACATCTTTTTATTTGCTTGTTGGCCATTTGTATTTCTTCTTTGGAGAAGTGTCTGTTAAGGTTCTCCGCCCATTTTTTGATCTGGTTATTTGTTGTTTGGGTGCTGAGGCATATGAGTTCTTTATATGTTTTAGAAGTTAACTTCTTATCAGAGGAGTCATTTATGAATATATTCTCCCATACTGTAGGGTGCCTTATTGTTCTGCTGAGGGTGTCCTTTGCTGTACAGAAGCTTTTCAGTTTGATGTAGTCCCACGTTCATTTTTTATTTTGTTTCCCCTGCCTGAGGAGATGTGTCCAGGAGAAAATTGCTGACACTTATGTTCAAGAGATATTTTGCTTATGTTTTCTAATAAGAGTTTTATGGTTTCATGTCTTACATTTAGGTCTTTGATCCATTTTCAGTTTACTTTTGTGTATTGAGTTAGGCAGTAATCCAGTCTCATTCTCTTACATATAGCTGTCCAGTTTTGCCAACACCTGCTATTGAAGAGGCTGTCTTTTCCCCAGTGTATATTCATGGCCCCTTTATCATATATTAATTGACTATATATGTATCTAGGCTCTCTATTCTGTTCCATTGATTTATGGGTCTGTTCTTGTGCCAGTACCAAATTGTTTTGATTAGTGTAGCTTTGTAGTAGAGTTTTAAGTCATGGAGCATAATCCCCCCAGCTTTGTTCTTTTTCAGGATTGCTTTGGCTATTTGGGGTCTTTGTGGTTCCATATGAATTTTAGAACTATTTGTTCTAGTTCATTGAAGAATGCCATTGGTATTTTGATAGAGATTGCATTGAATCTGTAAATTGCTTTGAGCCATTTTGATGATATTAATTCTTCCTATTCATGAGCATGGGATAGATTTCCTTTTTTTGATGGCTTCTTTAATTTCTCTCATGAGTGTCTTGTCTTTGTCAGAGTAAAGGTCTTTCACCTCCTTGGCTAGGTTTATTCCTAGGTATTTTATTCTTTTGGATATAATTGTAAATGGAGTTGTTTTCCTGATTTTTCTTTCTGCTAGTTTGTTGTTAGTATATAGGAATACAACAGATTTCTGTGTATTAATTTGTATCCTGCAACTTTGCTGAATTCAGTTACTAGTTCTAAGAGTTTTTTTAATGGATTCTTTAGAATTTTCTATGTATAATATCATGTCATCTGCAAATAGCAATGATTTAACTTCTTCCTTACCAATCTGGATGCCTTTTATCTCTTTGTGTTGTCTGATTGTTGTAGCTAGGACCTCCAGTACTATGTTGAATAAAAGTGGTGAGAGTGGGGATCCTTGTATTGTTCCTGACCTTTCAGGTTTTCACTATTTAGTATAATGTTGGCTGTGGGTTTGTCATATATGGCTTTATTATGTTATGGTACATGCTTTCTATACCCATTTTGTTGAGAGTTTTTATTATGAATCGTTGAATTTTGTCAGATGCTTTTTCAGCATCTATTGAGATGATCATTTAGTTTTTATCCTTCATTTTGTTAATGTGGTGTATGATATTGATTGATTCACAACTATAGTACCATCTTTGCATCCCTGAAATAAATCCTGCTTGGTCATGATGGATGAACTTTCAGATGTATTTTTTTGATTCAGTTTGCTAAATTTTGTTGAGGATTTTTACATGTTAACCAGGGATATTGGTCTGTAATTTTCTGTTTTTGTGGTGTCTTTGTCTGGTTTTGGTATTAAGAGTGATGCTGGCCTCATAGGATGAGTTTGGAAGTATTCTTTCCTTTTACTTTTTGGAATATTTTAAGAAGGATAGGTATTAGCTCTTCTTTAAATGTTTGGTAGAATTTGGCTGTGAAGCCATCTGGACCAGCGATCTTGTTTTTTGGGAGTTTTTTGATTACTAATTCGATTTCATTGCTGGTAATTGGTCTGTTCAGATTTTCTGTTTCTTTCTGTGTCAATCTTGGAATGTTATATTTTTCTAGGAAGTTATCCATTTATTCTAGGTTGTCCAATTTATTGGCATATAATTTTTCATAGTTTTCTATGATAATTATTTGTATTTCTGTGGTATCCATTGTGATTATTCCTTTTTCATTTCTGGTTCTGTTTATGTGTGTACACTCTCTTTTTTTCTTGATTAGTCTGGCTGTGTATTTATGTATTTTGTTTATTTTCTCAAAGAACCAGCTCCTGGTTTCATTGATTTCTTTCTGTTGTTCTATTCTTCTCTATTTTATTAATTTCTACTCTGATCTTTATTATGTCCCTCCTTCTACTAACTTTGGGATTCATTTCTTCTTTTTTCTAGTTTTTTTAGTTGTGATTTTAGCTGCTTATTGTTAGACTTTTAGACTGTATTCATTCTTAGTAATCTTAGCAAATTGACACTTTTTGTGGCTCCCATTTTTGTCTTCTATTCTTTTGGATTTAGAAAATTCAGTGCACCAATACCATTATGTTTCCTATATGTAAGAATACATTATTTCATAGCATTCCAAATCAACTTCTTAAAATAACAGCCCAGTAGGTTTTAAGTTCTTTCCATTAATTTTTTTATATTCATACCTTTATGTAGCAGAATTTGCACTCTTAAAGTCTATTCCTCAATTACTGATACTCTCCTCTGTTTCCTTCAGTTAAATTTATTTGATTAAATTATGATCATTTCCTTAGAGCCAAACTACTTTTAGATTATAAACTAATTTGTGTCTGTTGACACAATAACAGCTTAATAAAGGATATAGTTGTGTTTGATTGCTCCATTTTTTTGGACCTAGGAAATTATCCCCAAGCAGTTAAAAAATTGTGTTTGATATTTGACATTAACTAAACTGTTTTGTTTTGTTTTTAGCAAATCTATGGTGTTTAAAATACTATGCCACATATAAAACCAGAGGCAACATTAAACGTCTCAAATGGATATTTAAATATTTAAATGTTGATTTAGTATGCCTATGGAACTCTATTTTGTTACTTTTGATAATACAGTATATATTAGTTTGCTAGGGCTGCCATAACAAAGTACCACAGATTGAGCAGCTTAAATAGCAGAAATTTATTTTTCATAGTTGTGGAGGCTGGAAGTCTGAGATCAAGGTGTCATCTGGGTCACTTTCTCCTGAGGCCTTTCTCGTTGGCTTCCAGATGGCCATCATTGTGTCCTCAAGTGGTCTTCTATATGTGTCAGTGTTCTAATCTCCTCTTCTTATACAGAAGCCAGTCATAATGGAGGGCCCTCCCTCAGGACCTCATTTTAACCTAATCATCTTTTTAGACTATCTCCAAATATAGTTACATTCTGAGGCACTTCAGAATGTAGGGGGTTGGGGTTTCAATATATGAATTTTGGTAGATGCAATTCTGTCCATAACAGGCTATAATTGTTTTACTTACAACTTCAGCTGAGTTTCTCTCTTATGTTTCCCTCGGGTCTGCTGTTGCCAATAAATGTCTTTTTTATAGGAGCATATCAGTGCTTCCTACTATAGTGGCCTACAACAACCGTGCTCAAGCAGAAATCAAACTACAGAACTGGAACAGTGCTTTTCAGGATTGTGAAAAGGTCTTAGAGTTAGAACCTGGAAATGTAAAAGGTAAAAATATTCATAGAATGCTTTTAAATTTACAGTGGAATCTGTTAAAGACCATTTGTAGACACTCATTATATTTACACTAAAACTATTTCAAATAAGCTCAGATTTCTAAGTGTGAATCATTACCTTCATAAAATTATTTTTAGCATCAAGTTAAATTTAAATTTAAGTCCCTGATTTACACTGAAGTAGCTAATAATCATAGATAATTAAATCATCGGTATGTAAGTTTTTAAAAGAAGTATTTCAACCATGCATTTGAACTGTGGAGTTTTTTTTTCTTTAAAATTTTTTTATCATGATAAAATACATATAACATAAAACTTACCATCTTAATCATTTTTAGGTGTGTATAGTTCAGTGGTATTCTGTACATTCATATTGTTGCACAGACATCACTTCCATCCATCTCCGGAACATTTTTCATCTTTCAAACTGAAATTATACCCGTTAAACAACAACTCTCTATTTTCCCTCCCACCACCGGCTTTCAGTAACCACCATTCTACTTTGTCTCTAAGATTTTACCTTCTAGGTACTTCATACAAGTAGAATCATACAATATTAATCTTTTTGTTACTGACATATTGAACGGTGTCTTTTTACCCAAAAAATATTTGATTAAAATTTCTGATATTTATTAACATAATAGAATAACCCCACACCAGAGAGCTCTAGAACTTTCTACCAGTGGCTTTGTCAGCATTTCCACCTATGGATGTCCACAGACATTTTAAATTAAACATGTTCAAAACCAACTACATCTTTCTACCAAAATCTGTACTCTGTCCTGATTTCCTGTCCTGATTTCCTGTCTCAGTGATGCAAGTCAGACTCCACTCTCCTTTTCTGTTTCAAGAAGGAGTCTTTCCAAGAGGGAGGGACATAAATTATAATAGACTCATTCTAGTATTTCTTTAAATATTAGTGAATTCAGATAAATATGAGCACTTCCTTTTATTTCTTCATATGGAGTGTACCCTTTTGTGCCTACAAACATGGATGTGCTGAGAGGGGAATCCTGATGAATCAGCCCTGATGTCATACTGCTCCCCTTCACCAGTAAAGTCCCTCCTATGCCTGTATTTTGTCTCTGGCACAGAGTATCAGTGGGTTCCAATCCTAGGAGATTGGAAAAAGTTTTGCAAATCTCTTAATAGGGTCACATCACCACTGTGCCAGGTCCTCTGCCAAGGGCTTTACATGTATTAACTCTGTTAATTTTCACAACAGCTCAGTAGAGGTGCAGATATTATTATTAGCATACTCATTTTACAGAAGAGGAAACTGAAGCATAGAAAGGTTAAGCAGCTCACCCAAGATCACACAGTTAGCAAATGGCAGAGCCAGGACTGGACAACAGACTCCAGAACCTACATTCAACCACTATGCTATTCTTCTGCCACTAGAATGGACTCATGTTTTCTTTCTTCCTTGTGTGAGTAATTTCTTAAGCACCAGAATTTCAGTACTTAAAAAACAAATTTGACAGAGATAAATCTAGTATTGAGTATGGCCATAAAACATTAAGAAGTCTGTGTTTGCTCAAGTAAATAAGTAGCTTCCTTTAAAACTTCATTTTTTACTCAAAGGATAATTTTTCTAAATGTAATTGTTCTAATTGTTCTAAGAATTCCATCCTGTAACAGAAAAAAAATATTAGTAGAAAAATTGGTGAAATCCAAATAAAGCCTGTAGGTAGTTAATAGTATTGTACCAATGTTATTTCTTAGTTTTTGGGAAATATACCATAGTTACGTAATTTGTTAGTATGAGGAAGAGCTGGGTGAAGGTTTATGAGAACTCTATTATTTTTGCAAATTTTTTGTAAATCTAAAACTATTTCCAAAAAAGTAAGTTTAAAAAATGATGATTGTTATATCATACTTCTTTATGAACATTGCCTTCTGAAATCTGAGTAATAATAGTAGTAGCTAAACTTATACTTAAGTGTAGTGATACAATTTTGATTAAACTTATGACAAAATAATTTATTCTTTAGATTTTCATGGCTCATTCTAAGACTAAAACAAAATTGGTCAAATTTATGTTTTAGAAATAGTATATTAAAATATCAGGTATAAATTTCTCACTTTTCAGAAATATGAAGTCTGATTCTTTTCAAAATAATGACGTACTACATAAAGTTCTCTCATTATATAATGTATAATGATGGGAATATAAAGGCACTCATTATCATTAGCAAATAATTATCAAATTATATGTTGAAACCTATGAAAAATTGGATGCAAATCACCAAAGTGCTTTATTTCTGAACCTAGATGATTTAATCATCAGGATTTTCTTAGTTCCCTGTATCAATAACTTCAGTAACATCCTGATCATTCATATTCTGTGCCAGATGCTGGTCAGTAATACATTAAATTTGAATAAAGGATTTTCCAAGTTTTCATAAAGTGGCAGAATAATACTAGTGGTAATTATAAGGAAGAACATGTTATTACCCAGTGCAGAGCTTCCCGATATTGCAATACAGTGTGGTGCCTCTGAAGGGTTGAGGTATGGAGTCTCCCAGCTCTTGGAGGGGCTGAGGGCCTGGGACTGTTTGACGACCAGGTGGCTGGAAGGCACCCAGTTCCTGGTGCAGCTTCTTCTGTTTACCTCAGCAATATAAAAGTGGATATAGTTAAGCTTTGCACATTTACATCCTAAACTATTCTCTGCTACTTATATTCTTCCACTTGAAAAATGTGTTACAACCATGATGCCATATGTTAAAATATATAACTTTTATTTTGGTAATTTTCAGCTCTTCTGCGCCGTGCCACTACCTATAAACATCAAAACAAGCTCCAGGAAGCTATAGAAGATTTGAGTAAAGTGCTGGATGTTGAACCTGATAATGAGTTGGCCAAAGTAAGTACAGAAAGTGACTCCTCGCTTAATTCCATAGTTTGGTATTGCTGTTTTTATGTTAAAATGATACCAATCTTGCTGGATAAATGATGTTGAGAATTAGGTCACACCTTTAAAATGTAGGTATATCTCAGACACCCTGAAGTGTTAACATCTATTTGAAGTGGAAGAAATCAGGCTCTTAAATTGTCCAAAACTATAAACCTACTCTTCATGGATGAATATTTATTTATTTATTATTTAGATATAAGAGTACATGGTAAGCTTAGAATCATTAATAGCATGTGCTGCCCAACTGATGAGACTGACTCAGATATACATTTGGGGGACCTGTTTTAAGGCCTAAAGAGTACAGGTAAGTGTTGAGAACTCTAAAGAGTGTAAGACTTTATCCTTCTTGAAAATCAACAAGGTGACCTAGCAGAAGGTATAAGACTTCAGGGTCAGACACAAAGGACTATGATACTCATAGTATAGCAAGCCAGTGAGCTTCAAATTCATGTGAATTCTCCTGGGCTCCAAGTCCCATGGGGGTGGCACAGAGTGGCCCAGACAGATGTGGCACACTCAGTGGGTTTGTATCATGGCTGAGGAATTCCAAATATAGGAAACCTCGTCTCTGATAATGGGATACAAGCAATCCTGCTCACATTTGTGCTCTGGAGGAAAGCAATTTTACTGGAGAGCAAACAAACTGGCTCTCCCCTCTGAAGGGAAATCCTATCTCTATTTCCTAAGGCTGTTCTCAGTACAGATTCCTTAAAAAGAGTCTAGAACAAAGGTTGTTTAATGTCTCTGCTCACAATATATTCAAAAATGTGAGAAACTCATGGAGATCTCTCTTCTAACAGTACAATGGTGTGCAAGTTGTACTATTTCCACATACACCTGCTGGGGGTTACCTATCTCATTCTGAGGAGCCACTAATATCCCCAGTCTATCTGCTGCATCTGTCAAGTCACTGTTTCAGTGGATTAGGAATGCAGTTTTTCCCCATAGTATTTCCTTTTTATAATGGTATATTTATTGAAAAGTTGATGTAACAATATCCCAAAAGAAAAAATTTTAAATAAGGAAAACCTTTAATTTCACTACCCAATACAATTTTAGGTTTACATATTAACTTTTAGGCCTTAGCCAATGCATTTTTATCTTAACCATATGCAAAGGTTAACACAAAATGGATCATATACCTTAATGTAAAACCTGAAATATAAACATTCTAAAATAAAATTTAGGAGAATATCTTTATGACCTTGGATTAGACAAGTACTCCTTAGATATGACACAGGGGCACCATCCATAAAAGAGAAAGGAGACAAGTTGGATATCATCAAAATTAAATACTTTTGCTCACTGGAAGACACCATCAGAAGAATAAGAAGACAAGCCACAGACCAGGAGGAAATATTTGCAAATTGTATATTCAACAAAGAACTTGCATCAGAACTACATAGACAGACCTCAACTTAGGATGGTTTGACTTATGAGGTTTTCACTTTACAATGGTGCAAAAGTGATACACATTCAGTAGAAACCACATTTCAAGTTTTGAATGTGGACCTTTTCCCAGGATAGCAAAATGCAGTACTTTATGCTGCACAGTGGTAGTGAGGTGCAGCTCCTGATCGGCCACATGGTCAGGTGGGTAAACAACCAGTACATCTGCAACCATTCTGTGCCCATATGACTATTGTTTTACTTTCAGTACAGTAGTCAATAAATTGCATAAGATATTCAACATTTTATTATAAGATAGGCTTTTTGTTAGATGATTTTGCCCAGCTGTAAGCTAATGTAAGTGTTCTGAACATTATTGAAGTTAGGCTAAGCTAAGCTATGATGTTCAGTAGGTTCAGTGTATTAAATGCTTTTTCAGCTTAGGTTATTTTTAATTCATAATGGGCTTATCAGGACTAACCCCATAGTAAGTCAAGGAAGATCTATATAAAAACCTCCCAAAATTCAATAAAAAGAAAACAAACAGGCAATTAAAAAAATAAGCAAAATATTTGGTCAGACTCCTCACCAAAAGAGATATGCAAATGGAAAATAAGCACATGAAAAGATGGTCAAGGTCATTCATCACTAGGGAAATGTAAGTTAAAACCACAAGAGTTGCAAACCTGTTAGAATAGGTAAAATGAAAAAGTTTGTTCATACCAAGTAGTGGTGGGGATGTGGAAGAACTGAAACTCTTAGGAATATAAAATGATACCACCCTTTTGGAAAATAGGTTGGTGATTTCTTAAAAAGTTGAACATGAAATCATAAACCTACCACATGATCCAGCCATTCCACTCCTACTTATTTAAGCAAGATAGTTGCTAGTGTATGTCCATACAAAGATTTATCCATGACTATTCATAATGGGTTTATTTGTAATCCAAAAAACTAAACACAGCCTAAAATGTCCTTCAACAGGTGAATGGGTAAAGAAAACTTGTGTTACATCTATAAATAGAATACTTTCAGCAATAAAAAGGAATGAACTGATAGATACACACAACAACGTGGATGAATTTCAAAATAATTATGCCGAGTGAAAGAAGCCAGGCAAAGAGTACATACAGCATTATTCTGTTACATTTAAAATCCTATAAAATGCAAACTAACCTAACATGGTAGAAGGAACAGTGGTTGTACAGAGAGGCAAAAGGGAGATAAAACAAAGAGACAAGAAGAAACTTTGGGGAATGAGGGGTATATATTTATTTTGTGAAAGCCTATCAACTTCTGCATTTAAAGAATGTACAGTTTGTCAATTATACCTCAGTAAGGGAGGGAAGGAAAATAGCTTGATATATTTTTTTCATTCTAGTTGGCATAAAATATTAACTTCTAACATTACTTTAAAAATGCATATGTAGCATGATTTATATAAAACTGTGCATCTATGTGTATATATATGTATATAAGCACATAACTGGAAGATGATCATCAGAATGTCAGTAGTATTACCTGAGTGGCAGGATTCCAGATTTTTTTTATAGTTGTTATGCTTTAAGTTTTTCCAGTGGACATGGATGACTATGAGCAATGAAGCTGAAAAAGAAAGAAAACAGATCACCATAAAAAGCCATATCATAGATATCTTTATTAACTTTTTAATATCTTCATATTCTTACCTGAAAGAATGGTTATTTTTTTATTAAAGGAAAACATTTTCCTTAACATAGTGATTATGTTGCAGAAAACCTTGGCAGAGGTTGAAAGAGATCTGAAAAATTCTGAACCTGCATCCAAGACTCAAACCAAAGCAAGAAGGATGGTTATTCAGGAAGTAGAAAACTTGGAAGATGAAGATGGAAAGGACAATTGGGGAAAAGAAAAGGGCAGTGGAGGTAAGAGTAAACCAACTTCTCTTTTTCTGGTTAAGCAAAACACTACTTTTTTATAGGATGCACTGGCTCAAATTTTGTAGGTAAGTATCAAAATTCTTAGTCGACTGAAATTTTCTAACTTAATCTTCTAAATCCACAAGCAAATTTCTTCATAATCTTTTTCTTAGTGTGGCTCATCATTTTCTTAAATACAGTCTTCCACAACCACTTTTCTTCTTAACCTGGCACCTTTCTCTAGTGTTCAGTTTGTTTCCTGATTATCACCTTTAAATGCAAATATCTGTATCTGTGTGAAGCCAGCCATTTACAAGTTAACCTTAAATCTCTCTCTTAGATGATTTTGTATGTATCTACTTGGTTGCAAACAATGGTATTGGCTACAGAGGAGCTATAGGTCTAAAATGAATGCATTGTCGGAAAATTGCTGTGTGTTCCTCCCCAAAAGAATTTTTTAATATGCAAAATAAATAAGTCTAATTTTACTTTTTATATAATTAAAAAAAGAATCTCGATTAAATAAAGATTCATATTCATAATATAAAACAACAGTTACATCAGCTTAATGGGGAAGATCTGCATACTCCCTTGACAAGGGAGAAAAAGACTTTCACCCCTTCTTAAGAGCCCTGGAACAATGAAGGGGAAAATATCAATTTTGGAAATTATTCAAGGTAAAAATCAACTTGTAAGTAATTTTGAGAGAGAAATACTCAACTTAAAAAAATTTTTTTAACTTTTTTTTTTACTGTAAAATATACAGCTCAAGGTAAAATATGAACAGTTCAGATAGAGTTAAGACCTTGGTTAGATATGACTTTGCAAATATTTTTTTCCCTGTCTATAGCTTTTTTTATTCTTTTAATAGTGTCTTTCACAGAATAAAGGTTTTTCATTTTGTTGGAGTCCAATTTCTCAAAAATGTTTAATGGACCTTGTTTTTGGTATTCTAAGAATACTTTGCCTAGCCCAAAGTCATGAAGATTTTCTCCTATGTTTTCTTTGAGGAATTTTATAGTTTTATATTTTACATTTAGATATATATCCATTCTGAGTTAATTTTGGAATGAAGTATAAGGATTAGATTATCTCATTTCTTTGGTATATGGATGTCCAATTGTTCCAAGACCATTTGTTGAAAATTTTCTATACCCCTTTGAATTGCCTTTGCACCTTTGAGAAAAGTCAATTGGCCATATTTACGTGGTCAATAGAATCTAATTCTGGCCTCAGTTCTTTTCCATTGGCCCGTGTGTCTATCCTTTCACCAATACACACTGTGTTAATTAATGTAGCTTTATAGTAAGTCTTAAATTCAGGTAGTGTGATTCCTTCAACTTTATTCTTCTTTTTCAAAATTGACTATTCTACTTCCATTGCCTTTCCACATAGTTTAAATTTTCTTCTAATTTTATTTTTCATGGTCCACATTCCTCCCATTTTGCTTAATATTCAGGTATGTTTCATTACATTAAATCACTAAAAAAAAATGACATACATTTGATGACTATTCTACCATGAGTCTCTTTGTTATATTACTAAAACTTAGATTTCTACTCACTGCAAAACCACAGGGGATTTTCCTCAATATTTCATTATAATATACAGAGTATAGTAATTGGATAGCAAATATGAAATAGTTAAATCAGTTTTTCTATATGTAAAAAAAGTCATACTGGAAATTTGACCAGAACTGCATTGGATTTATTGACCAATCTGGGGGAAAAATGACAACAGGCAGCAGGACAAGTGTTTAAATTGATGAAAGAAAGAACTGTCAACCCAAAATTCTATATTCAGCAAAAATAGCCTTCAGAAATAAAGGCAATAAACAGGAAAGGGCTAATCATTAAAAAATCAATAGTATGACTTTTGTGATTACAAATCTGAATCAGGATTGTTGTAGTGTAATATTTGCACTCAGATCTTCAAGCCAGCCAGTACTTTAAGAGAACTATTTCTGATCCTGTCATTCATGCCCCACAATAATTACTTTTTGATTAGGGAATATATAAAAATAAGATTCAGAGGAAAAAAATGATAGGAGAAATGTAAAATTTAAGACCAGTTAGTCCCCTTTTATCAGGAAAGCAAATCAAGATTAGCTGAAATAAATGTCTGGAAGCTTAGAGTACACCTTCTAAGATGAAATAAAATCAGTAGAACTACTTTGTGCTCACCTCTACCAAGTTCCATTGTTAGATGACATGTAAAAAGAAGTTCTGGAGCCTTGGACAAGTTAGGAGAAATCCAAGTCACTTTTAGGAAAATAATGTTAATGCCCTGAGGGAGGTTATCGCATTGGAATCTTTACATATGGTTCCCCATGCTCCCACATTCCAAGAAAGAATTCTTAGTCATTATGGGATATGATCCAAGGAGTCCTTAAGACCTTGGAAAAATGCAGCAATTAGTATTTTGTAACTTTGACTGATAATGATGCTCCTTAATGAGCTCCTCTTAGGTTGGCCAAGTCCAGTTCATCCAGACTGAGGTATAACATAACCAGTGTTTTAATTTAACAGCTGACAATAATTGAGCACCTGACGTGTATCAAGTACTTGGATAAGACAATGGATAGGTTTTCTTTACCTGTCCTTCTGTAGACTAGTATGAAGAAATACCTGCCTATCTGCCAAGCTGATGAGGTATGGAAATTTAACTTCATAGGCTTTCATAGAAACTCCCTATTTGTGTTTTCCTTCCCTAGGAGAGAGTATTTAGAAGTGGCCATCAACCTGTAGCTGTCAGAGACTAGTATTTATTCTATCTCCGTACAGAGTCTGTGAGAAGAAAGTAAGCATGTAGTCTCTCTTGTAGTGCTGTTGCTTATTCCCCACTTAAAAATGAAATATAAGAAAATTAAAAGTCACTTACAAACAAAAGAATAAAATAAGATATTTCTCTTGTCCTAGAATTGGCAGAATCAGAGGGTAGAAAAGTGGAGATTACAAAGAGTTAAAACAATAAACAAAAATCATGAAGATAAAGGTAAATGATTTGATTACATAAAAATGAAAAACCATAAGTGAGATACCATGTAAAAATTAAAAGGCAAATGACAAACTAGGAAAAAATGGCAAGGGGTTGACAACCTTATAATATGAAAAACTTTTACAAAACAGAACAAGTTAAAGAGCCCAGTACTAAAAGGAACAGAACATGAAAACAAATAAATCACCAATGAAATTAAATGATAAATAAAAATTGTATTGCTAATAAAAAATGAAAATTAAATATAGATTCTTTTTTTCTCCCATCAAACTGGCTAAGATGCAGAGGATGGGGGTAGGTATGGGGAGAGGAGAAAGTATGCTTTGTGGTCAAGGTTAACATGAAATAAACAATCTTTTTTAAAAATTGAGCTCTAATTCGTATGTCATAAAATTCATCCTTTTCAAATTCAGTGAATTTTAGTATATTCACAAGATTGTGCAACCATTATCACTGCTTAATTTCAGAATATTTTTATCATCACAAAAAGAAATCCCATAACCATTAGCAATCACTCCAGTCTCTCCTTCCCCTGGCAACCACTAATCTACTTTCTGTCTCTATTGATTTACCAATTCTGATGTCTCATATAAGTGGAATCATACAATATGTGGCCTTTTGTGTTGGGCTTTCATTTACCATAATGTTTTCAAGGTTCATACATGTTGCAGCATGTATTAGACTTTATTCCTTTTTTATGAATAAATAATATTCCATTGCATGGATAATTCCATGTTTTCTTTATCCATTCACCAGTTGATGGACATTTGGGTTGTTTCCACTTTGTGGTTATTATGAATAATGCTGCCATGAAATTCATGTATAAATTTTCTTATGTGTGTGTATGAACATGTTTTTAATTTTCTTGGGTATATACCTAGAAGTGGAATGCTGGACTATATGGTAACTCATATGTTTAACTTCTTGAGGAACTGCCAAACTGTTTTCCAAAGTGGCTATATCACTTTATATTTCCACCAGCAATATATGAAGATTCTAATTTCTCAAATTCTTGCAAACACTTGTTATAGCTTGCCTTTTTTATTATAGCCATCCTACTGGTTGTGGAGCAGTAATTTCTTATGGTTTTGATTGTATTTCCCTAATGACTTACTATGTCGACCATCTTTTCATGTGTTTATTAGCTATTTGTATATCTTTTTTGAAATGTTTATTCAAGTCCTTTCCCATTTAAAAATTAGGCTGTCATTTAACTGTTGCATTGTAAGTGTTCTTTATATATTCTATCAGATATATGATTTGCACATAATTTCTTCCATTCTCTGGGTTGTCTTTACTTTCTTGATAAATACCCTTTGATGCACAAAAGTTTTTAATTTTGATGAAGTGAAGTTTATCTGTTTTTCTTTTGTTGCTCATGCCTTTTTTTTTGTAGATAATTATTTTTTATTGAAGGGTAGTTGACACACAGTATTACATTAGTTTCAGGTGAGGTGTACAACTGAGGTAAATAAACAGTGATTTAACATTTATATACATGATAATTCTAGCTACCAGCTATCAACATACAAAGTTGTTAACAATATTTTGACTATATTCCTTATGCTATACATTACATCCTGGTTACTTATTTATTTTACAATTGGAAGTCTGTACTTT